GATACCCTGGCTTCTCTCCAGACACAGCTGGGTGAGCTCCTCCAGTCAGGACAGGAGGCTCTACTGTACACAGAGGGGGGTGGGGGTGTGGAACAAGCCCAGCCATGTTGTTTTTCAAGAAGAGGCTGGATGAGAAATTCAGATCAATTAGCTGCTAAAGCCAGACGGGTAGTCTGCCTGTCTGCCTAAACAGCCTCCACTCCTTTGTCCCCTCGGTAATGTTCTTGCGTAGATCTGACATGTGTAAGTTGTACAGGGAGAACCCACAGCAGATACATCCTGAGTGTCTGTTTCTCCACAGAAGCAGCTGGGGGCGACACAGAGACAAACCCAGCAGAGACTCGAGGAGAGAGAGAAGGAGCTGCAGGAGCTGAGACAGGCTGTGGAGTCACTCAGAGTGGGTATTGACCAGAGGAGTGGACACACTGACACACATTCCCACAGCTGGACACTGGACACACCAGTACACTGAGGAAACACCACACAGTAGAATGTAGTTCAAGCAGGGAGCTGCGTCAGCATGCGCAGGCTGCAAAGGAACAAGTAAGAGGTTTATTCCCTGCGGAAAAGAGAGGAAAGGAAACAGGTTTCGGCTGTGGAGTCTTCTTCAGGTGTGAAGAAGCAGTAGAATGAGGTTTGAGTGTCTCCTCACTCAGAATCACAGAGGGGGGCGGGCTGGCATGATGAATTACAAAGAAGAGAACCAGTTATTTATTGTTATTGATCGCAAAGCCGTTTGTATACCAACAGCAGGTACAGCAGCGATCAGGCTTGACTGAGACGTCCCCCGACGCAGTACTGACCTGACCCAGAGGACTGACCCAACAAACTGACCCGTCCCGTCTGAGCCTCTGCGAATCTAGAGACGCTGCTGTCAGGACCTCGAATCAGGCACTTTGTCTCAGCGTGTCAGTGCCTTGGTACTGATGGCCCATGTCCTCCCTCAGAGCTCGGGGCGGAGGGCAGTGGAGGACAGCGAGCGGGTCTTTAACGAGCTGGTCCGCTCGGTCCTGAGGCTCGGCTCCCAGGTGAAGGAGCAGATCGAGGCCGGCGAGAGGGAGGCGGTGGGTCAGACCGAGCGCCACATCGAGGAGCTGGAGCAGGAGATCGCCGAGCTGAGGAGGAGAGACGCTGAGCTGAGCCAGCTCTCACACACAGAGGATCACATCCATTTCCTCCAGGTAACAGCACTGCTCTGGGACTCTCTGCAGTCCAGAAGGGAGTCTCTCACACAGAGCTCTCCAATGGAGCTGCTCCTGGCTTCTCCCCAGGAATGTGTGCTGGAGCCCAGTGTGTTTGACTGGAAACTCCTCTCTCTCCTCCCTGCTGCAGACGTTCCAGGCCCTCTCCTCTCTCTGGCCTGGAGTCTCCAGGAAGGCGCCCGTGAGCGCGGAGAGCACGTTTGGGGCGGTCCGACGCCTGGTTTCGGAGCTGAAGGAGCTCACCGAGGACCTCTGCAGGCAGATCCTCGTCAGGATCGCAGACGCAGGTGGGCGGAGGGCCTCTCCCCTCGCAGCGGCCGCTGGGTGCCAGCCTGGAGCCTCTGGTGCCTTAATGGGGTTCATAACGAACGTTCAGGAGTCGAGTTCAACCAGCCCCAGCTGTCAGTAATCTGCAATCACTCCTGATTTTTCCTCACCTGGAACACTGTACTTCCTGTACGTGATCCCTCCTCTCCCTCACACACGTCTCCTGCCCCTCTGCTCCTCTGCAGCTGCCCCTGGGTCTCTCCTTTCTCCACAGGGGGTCCCAGCCTGCTCCCCTCTGGCCAGGAGGTCAGCTCTCAGCCAGGCTGCGGCAGACAGACTTACTCTGACTGAAACACTCGATAATCCTGTCGAGACGCTGAGTTCTGGGTCAGACTCAGCTACCCTGGCCTGCAGGAGCACAGGCTGTACAAGACAGACCCTCACCCACCCTTCCTCACCGCCCAGCTCTGGGCCCAGCAGTGCCACACTCCCCCACCAGGGGGCAGCATTTCTCTCTGTGTCCCGAGTCCACCCTCTAATGAGATCCCTTTCCTTTCTCTCTCTCTCCCGGTGAAGTTAAGATCCCCCAGCCGAAGCCTCCAGCGCCCCCGGGGAGAGAGGAGTTCCTGAAGCGTGAGTCCTGCTTCACAGAGCAGCACCGTTAGAGACGCACAGCACACCAAGAGCAC